CTAAATAAATGCCATGGTAATAGCGATGTTGTCTGCAATTCAAGCAAATTGAAGAGGAAAAATAAAAGGTTCTGAAATGTCTAATGCTTTTAATATTTCGTGTTAGCATTACCATCTAGGCAAACGTTGGCAAGTCTACGTGGCATGGATGCCACAAAAACACTCGTTAACTGGCTTTCATCTGCAGAGCGCAATTGCTCCGATATGTAATTACTTTCTACAACGACAATATGCCGATTGCGGGTATGATCTTGAGGGAAGTCTCTGCCCATAGATACCAAAACATTTTCAATGGGATTGAGATCTAGTGATTTGGGTTGATGTGGCACAGTGTAATTTCGGGGTGTTACCAAAACCACGCTTGCACGACACTGACTGTTATCCTGGATGAGGCAAAGTGGCTCCAAATCGGGGAACACCATGGTCCACATGAAACACATCATCCAAGAATTTCCACGTATGTAGACCCCGTAAATCTGCCGAGCCTGATTATCCGCCCACTCTCCGATCCCAGCGATTTCTAAAAGTCTGTATACTGCTGCATTATGCTAAGTACCGCTGGATGTTGCCATCAGAACAAACGGGGTCCAGAACAAAATGACTCACGGTACAGGGACGTGGCAACTAACTACTGGTTACGACCCCTTCTCAAACCCAGTCAGCTGTAAAGGGTCTTGCCATTGAGTGTCAAATGGTTTTCATTAGCTCATGGTATTCATGCACTCCAATGCAAGCTTCCCGCTTGTCTTTCATAGAGCACATTTATGGTTTTGAATGAATTTACTTGATCTTCCTACGTCGTGCATCGGGGGCCTACTTCTGGCCCTGTCTAGACCCAGTTTCTAGGTGTCGCTGGATTCACAGGGACACGATTGGCTTCAAAATGCATAATCTTGATATTTAGATTCTTGATAGTCCCTTACACTAACGCACATTTATGACAGTACAAATGATGCGAATTGCGAATATTGCAATGGTACGAGGCCTCACCCATATCCTCTCCCAATCCATGAAGCTTCATCTCTTTCGAGCTTTGTAAACAGCAAAGAACAACCTTTCCGGAGCAACTCCTACCAATCGTTTCAGTTTCATCTATTACCAAGTAAAGATACTTTTTTTAGCGAATATGCATGTATACATGAATATATATACATGTATACATATATATAAATGCATACATATGTAATATATAGAGTATGATTATATACATACACGTATATGTTAGTGTGTGTTATGTGCGTCTCGTGTATGTATGCGCGCGCGAGCGCGGGTGTGTGTGTGTGTTTTATGAATTAATTTATGTATATACATATAACTGTGTATGAGTACACATATATATAATATAATGTATTATATATATGTAAATATGCATATATACAAATGTATGTATGTGTATTTATAAGTACACATAAATATATATATATATATATATATATATATATATATATATATATATATATATATATTTATATATATTTATATATATATATATATATATATATATATATATATATATATATATATATATATATATATGTATATATATATGTATATGTATGTATATATATATGGAGAGAAAGACGCGCGCTTATTCATGTGTATGTATATATCCGTCATGTATGTATATGTGTGTACATATAAATATATGTATATCTATATTATATAATATTATATTATATAAACATATGTGTGTGAGTTTTATTTATACACATATGTACATACACGTCTATGTATACATAAATAAACACTAATACATGTGTGTGCGTGTGTTCATTTATATATGTATATATATCTATATTTATCTACATACATACATACACATACAAACACACACACATTGTAGATAGGTAGATAGATGACATAATTTAGTTTTAATTTATATGTATTCATGTATGTATATTTAAATTTGCATGTTAAACACACACACGTGTGTGTGTGTGTATATGTGTGTGTGCGTGTGTGTTGTGTGTGTGTGTGTGTGTGTGTGTGTGTGTGTGTGTGTGTGTGTGTGTGTGTGTGTGTATGTATGTATGTATGTATGTATGTATGTGTGTGTGTGTGTGTGTGTGTGTGCATATGTTAATGTTTATGTGTATGTATATGTGGGTAGATATATATGTATATACATTTACAAACACATATATATGATATATATACATATGTACATACATATACATATATACAAATATAAATAAATATACACATGTACACACACACATACATGTGTGTATGCGTGTCTTTGTGTTTCTGTGTATGTATGTGTGCTGTGTGTGTATGCGTGTTTTGTGTGTGCCTGTTGTGTGTGTGTGTGTGTGTGTGTGTGTGTGTGTGTGTGTGTGTGTGTGTGTGCGTGCGTGCGTGCGTGCGTGCGTGCGTGCGTGCGTGCGTGCGCGCGCGTACGTGCGTGCCTGTTTGTGTGTTTGTATGAGGGTGGATGCAAATATGCACATACGTATAGTTATGTGGGAATTAATATATAAGATTATTTAATGTAAAATATATTGCATGTTTATTTTCTTTGATTAAGTCACATTATTAATCTCTTTTAAGTTAGACCATTTCCTTGTTAGTATTTATTAGTCTTAAGTTCTCATGACCATATTAGTGACTGCCAGGATTAATAAGAAAATGTTTCTGCAGAGCTTCAACACTCCAGTCCTTGTAAAACATTATTATAATAGTTGCACCTGTCTCTAGGCTCAGCAGTCTCAGTGTTGGAGCGAGTAGGAGAGACTTCACCTTAGTGATGACATCGGTAGGGGTGACGTCACGGCCATGCTGTGACGTCACCATTATCTGTGACCTGAACCCTTTTGTAGCTTCACCATATTTTCTCATAGTAGTCTCTCCTTGCAGGTGTATGGAATGTCATGAAGCACTAATAACTAGATGAAGGTAAACATAATTTCCTTTCTCTAGCTTCCGTGCTTCTGAATTATTAGAGTGCTTCGGGCATGGCTGATGCTTGGTTATGCGCTGCTTTGATTTAGCAAATGGCGCTTTGATGCGATGATGTGTTGACAATATTACTCTTTGTAATTCATAAAAAAAACACCACTAACATGACCCGGTATGGAAGATCATTGGAGTTCTAATGTGGTATTCTTTCTTCTTCGTTTTCCAGGAACTAAAGAACTACAACTACGCGACACTGGCTTACAAGCTCTGGTAATGAGGATCTCTCACCATCGAGTTCCACTGATCTTGTGGCTCCTCCACCCACGCCTACAAGTCTTCTCCCAGCTCCAAAAAAACATTATTTTTCGGCAGAAGTTATCCGTATCTTTAAGGGAAAAAAAGAAACATTTCGAAATGAGCTGTGAGCCAAGTGTTCTCCTCTCCACTATTCATGTTTCCCGACGAGAGATTCGTTGCAGCTTCTCAAAGTGAGTCTCTCTCCTTCGCGGCGAAATCACGAAGACGCTTCTCAAGTCTTCTCTTAGGCTGTGCTGACGCTTCCAATCTTCTCTTTCATCTCTCTCACTTGTCAAGAAGAAAATTCATTTATTCTCTCGTTTGTGTCGTAATACTTATTTTTTAAATCTTTTAATGCGAAAATCTCTAAATCAGATAGTCATCGTCATTATTTTATTATTTGTCAAATATGGCCCTGATGTTCAAACAGTTTGTTCTGTCAGTGAATCAATTCTTTTCTACTTAGATAATATTTTACGCAAGTTTCGTCAGACAGAAATTTCAACAGACTTCTACCCCTTGCCCCTGCCGGCCCCTACATCTTTATCCTATGTTACTCGCTACCGCCTACATTCCCCCTCTCCTACCATGACACCCCCCTCCCCCCTTCTCCTTCTCGTCCCCCCACATGGCAATCCTTCCCAAATTATTCAATGTATCCAGAATTCCGCAGCCATTTATTATGTATCCCCTATAGTTGGTGAAGGCCTTACCTTGCCAATACGCAGCACTCATTTTAATAACACCCAAATTGTAATGCGCCGTATCAGATACTGCCCTCCCCTACATCCCCGCTGCCAGCTCTTCCCATTCCGCCTGCAGCCAACATAGCTACGGCACAGCGGCCACATAAGTATGTGATGTGTAAATATGCCGACATAAACTGACTGGCAGAATACTTTAACTCATTAGTCATCGGATGTCATGTCATTGATTGTAAATTTTTCTATTTCGACAAAGTTGGCCCTCGTAAACGAGGTTTAAACTTTTTCTTGATATCTCGCATTTTTTGAAATGTGATAAATCATAACTTATCATGATAAAATGTTAGATGTTAATGATCTACCCAGAGGTTACCAAGAAGAAAAGAGTAATGGGTAATGTAATAGTCAATATCTTTAGTCTCATTCAGATGTTTTTTGTTTTTTGGTTTTTTTTAGAATTTTCTAATTAAAATACATATGATGTGTCATAAACTACTATATTACCCCAACTCTCGTGTATACCCTGCGTGTACGATCATAGCCTTCGCGTAGTTAAACCATTTACCTGTCCTTGTCAAATCAGATGAGCGATATTTATTTTGTCTTAGATCTACAAGCAAATGCCACGGTTCAGCAATGAAGAATATGTATGTAAATCCGGACTAAATTTATCTCCAAAAGCACTGTTCTACGCGGACGCTATATATTTCCCCAAGTGCCAATCCAGTGGTTGTAACAGCTTGCATTATATTATATAAGAATATATTGTTTATAGAATAAGCCGAAATTCGGGCAAAAACATATTGTCCTAAATTTTGTTGATGTTTAAATATTACTCCAAGATAAAGGAAATAAAAGAAAAAGAAAAAAAAATAAACGGTATTAACTTTAAATTTGCCCGAATTTCTTCTATTGGACAATCCCAGTAAAAGCTTTATGATGATCTATAATATGAAATTATATAGTGTAGTTAGACATAGAATAAGCGTGGACGTGAATGTGATAGCTTAGGTCTCATGTGAATTCTTATTTTGTGCCATTTGGATTGCCACAAAACAAAGATGTATTTGCTAGTATATGAGTAAATTGCTTCGCTTAAAATATTTTTTTATTATCCCTCATAACACCTATGTGTACTATTGTGTCATCAGCATATATTGTTGGATGAGTGAAGTACAGCCCAACTCTGTTACGATTAATTTACTTACTCACAGTACATAAAGGCTACGAGTGATCCTTAGGAATCTGATAACTTTATATTTTTTTCCTTAATGAAATAAATAAATATATAAATATAATTATTTTAAAATGTCATATCATATCATCCTTAGTTCCTGAGAAGCAGAATAAAAAATATCTGGTTTGTAATAACCGCTATAACAATCCCATATCATACACACTGTACAGGAGTATATGTAAAACAAAATGTAACGGGAAAACAAAGAGGTTTGGATCGTGAGTTTTCAAGGCTCCAGCGAGGTGAGTAAAGTACAGTACAATTATGATATACACTCCCTACTACCTTTATTTCTATTCAACGCAGATACACTTGATCTTTCTACAATGAGACATGGAGCAAAATTTCACACAAAAACATAACAAACCCAGCCCTGGTTCGATACTTTATCATATGTTGGGAAAATCTATAAAATAACACCATTGTTGATTAATATATATAGACAAGCCACACTAGTACACAATTTCACGTATAACATCCACGTATAACATTTGTATCACATGAAAGTACGATCAAGTGCAGTGGCTCCAATATATATATATATATATGTGTGTGTGTGTGTGTGTGTGTGTATATATATATATATATATATATATATATACATGTAGATATATAAATATACATGTAAATATATATAAATTTGTGTGTGTAGAGAAAGAATGAGTGTACGAGTGCGCATGCGCGTGTGCACATGTTCGTGTGAGTAGAAGCACATGAAATGAATCTCTCTCTCTCTATATATATATATATACATATATATATACACATATGTATGAAAACGCTTAAATAAACACAAATTATGTATATATGTATAAGTATTTATATGCATCTGTATATATATGTATATATACATATATATATAAATATATATATATAACATATATCATACATACATACCTATATATATGTCTTAGAATATACATTTATTTGTATATGTATACATATATACACATGTATGTACCTACATATACACATGTATGTATCTACATATACACATATATATACATATGTATCTACATATATATGTATACACATGTGCGTGTTTGTTTGTTCATGTGTGTGACGATGTGTGTGCGTGTGTATGTGTTGTGAGTGTATGTGTTGTGTGTGTGTATGTGTTGTGTGTATGTGTTGTGTGTGTGTATGTGTTGCGTGTGTGTATGTGTACGTGTGCATGTGTGTGTGCGTGTGTGAATAACGCAGAGTACGAACATGAAAACAAAATATTTAAGTGGCCATGTTTATGCGCGACGCACAGATACTGCTATTGTGTGTGTGTTCTTGTAGAGCGTATACCACTGACCTACTGAACGTGGATATGGTCACATGCTTCCTAGTATCCCTCCCTAAAGTGTTACCCTTGTCCCATTTCCCATGCACACACCCACTGTTCTTCCAACCGCGAAATTCAGTACATCCAGAAAACGCTCTCCCATGGATACAAGAACTTGTCATGTAGAAACACATGCATGTAAATATATTTGTGTGTAAATATGTATAAATGTATATGTCTATATACACACATGCGTTTGTTGAATCATATTCATGTTGACAAATTTAGAAGTTTTTCTGATGAAGATATAATCGAAACCGGTCAAATACATCTCTTGTATTGTGAAGATCTTCATTCACATGCATACATTTCCTACACACACACACACACACATACATATATATACACACATACATATATATACACACATACATATAGATATATATGTATATATACATATACATATATATGGTATATATATTCATATATATACTTATACATATACATATATATGGTATATATATTCATATATATACTTATACATATACATATATATGGTATATATATTCATATATATACTTATACATATACATATATATACTTATGCATATACATATATAATATATATATATACTACATATACTATATTTGCACACATACATACACACACACACACACACACACTCACACACACACATATATATATATAAATATATATATATATATATATATATATATATATATATATATATATATGTTCTCAAATCCTTCTACTACTCCCCTCTCCCCTTCTTTTCCCTCATTAGCAGTCAGTCAAATATAAGCAAATGATTATTGTCAGAATGCACAGGCATTTTGTAGTAACAATATATTCTCAATAACAAGTGTATATCGTGAGTCTTAGAATAGGTTATACATGTTTAACGTTCGATATTTTCGAATTGCAAAGCAAAATGTGTACATCATAAATAATCTATATAATCATGCGAAAGTATGAGTCTGGAATATAAATGCAACATCGCAAGTCTCGGTACTCAGTGACTCATAGGACATTTTTAAAACTAAGTACAATTTGGTCGTGTAATAAATGTAAAAGTGTTATTGTTTATGGGAATCCGAACAAAGGTGTTTTTACACGTACATCAAGTTAATATTATACAAATATGTGAAATGATATCAATAGTCGATCAAATCCTTGTTAAAAGGATGAGTGCTAGTGAGGAAATGAAACTTATCATAAAACATACTGAAATACCGATAGGATACTCTCCTCTAGTCTTTTGGATATTCTTTAGCATTCACTCTTTTTAGCGTCTCCATGTTTGGTTCTCGTACCGACCCCTTCCTCTTTTCCCCAAACTTCCCGTGGCTATTCTACCCTGTATTCCTCATCCCCTTCATCCTAAATGTCTCCTCCGTCTTATTACTGATAGCCACACACCAGCCACAGTTTACAGCTGTCGCCTTATTGACGTATTGTTTTGTGAAGGTGAAAAGAAACTGCGAGGTTCCGATACTTCCTGTGTTGTGGTGGCGCCTCGGACTCGGAAGGCCACGGCATTATCCAATAGCCCCGTCAGCACCCTACTTCCTAACCCCGACGTGGGAAGAAATATTACTTTTAGTTCCCGTTATTCAATGTAGATTGTGATGGTAATGTTATTTAGAATAAATTCATTTCTGATAATATATTACATATGAGAAACACATGAACATACGTGTAAATTATATAATTTAAGTAATTTAAGTTTACAATTAAACATGTGAGAACTCCATAGATGAGTGAAGAACTGCCGTGTGTAAATCCATAGATAATAATGATAACAAACAGAACAGATACAAACTGCCGTAAACAAACCCAATCAAACCTCATAGACATGAAAAAAACGACCAAAAATATGAAACTACGGGAGGCTGTGACACCAATGCTGGACAGAGATCAGAAACTGTAAGAATCTGCAGCAAAGAAATGGGCGTCAACTCGCCATCATCTTGTCCACCAGCAATGTTAGTGTGTGACGTCACATTAATATCCCGTATACGATACCTATTTGAACATGTCACTAAAAAAATGTCCTGCCGGAGATAATTACCAGCATCTGTGTCGATACATGTGATCCCAAAATCAACCCAGGGCTATCACCTCATCCTAAAGCAGGTAATCTGTGTCAGTTCGTCAGTCTATCAAGCTGTCAATCCGTCAAGTATTTAAGCAGAGTCGAGTGTTCCCACAGCGAGGCGAGACAGGTACTTCCCACACCTCACTCAATCACAGGGCGACCATGTTGACGGTGGCCTCCTGCCTCTTTGCCCTCTTCCCCACCAAAATATTTATTGTCGTAACCGCAAAGAAGACGCGGAGTGCTGGTGGGATAATCCTGACACCGTGGGACGTCCAGCAGATATTTCAGGATCTCAAATAGGTCCTAAAAGTCAGTGGCTATCTAGGAAGTCAGAGCAGCTGCACAACGCTGGCCAATTTCTCCAAACGCTTATAAACAGCATTACATCCATGAAAAGCGGGAACTTCATCTAATTGTTAGATGTATGACGTATAATCTCTAAGTATGTTACATATGAGCATCCCAGAACGAACTGCGTTTACCGTTGGATGATCCAGTGTCTGGGACAAGTCCTCCCCAACGCAACTTACCTTGTTCTCGCCGTCCCTGGCCAACAAGGCAAGATGCCCTGGATGTGAGCGTGGGGAACTTTCCCTACTTGTGTATAAGACAGACAATGCCATAAAGAATTGATATAGCTATTTATACGTGTATATGCAGTGCATATATGTATATGGAATATCTGTGTGTGTGTGTGTGTGTGTGTGTGTGTGTGCGCGCGCGCGCGTGTGTGTGTGTGTGTATGTGTGTGTGTCCATATATGCATACACAAACACGCGCGCACACACACACACACACATGCATGTGTGTTTGTGTTTGTGTGTTTGTGTGTGTGTGTGTGTGTCCATAAATGCATACACAAACACGCGCGCACACATACTCATATGTGTGCGTGTGTAAATCCCACGCACAAATTCTACAAAACCACGAACGTAAGTCACTTCTACTAAGATCGTGTAATAAAGTCCCACACGGACGTAATTGGCGTCTGACAAGCGGGCGCCGACGCCATTAACTGTCTGGTTCATAAACCATACAATACCTGAGCTGAATCCCACTCCCTCCGTGTCTCTCCCCCTTTTACCTTCTCACATGGCCTCGCTGTTCAAAGAAGTCGAAGGGGATACGAGATAAATGAAACCAGTAATAGTCTAGCAGAAATTAAAAAAAAAAAATAAAAAACACGAAGATACAAATCCATTATCATATAGAGTAAAATAAATAGATATATAAATAAAAGAAAAAATGGTGTAGTCTGGAAAGTTGGCAATATGGGATTGCCAAAAATATACAAATCGAAGCTTTCTACATCCAAAGTAAACACAGAAGTATGCTCAGTAGATATACAACAGAACTTTCATACGAATCTTGTAAAAAAAAAATATATGCGCAATATCCGATCGATACGTTAAATAGCGGAAAACAGAGCCTACAAATCTGAAGATGACTCAAGACCATAAACTGTCCT